GATTCCAGATTTTCTGTAACCGTTAGGGCCGGATTGGTTCCAAAAAGCTCTAAAACTGGTACAAACCAAATCGTCTGCACCCCTAGCACAGGCACAATTGAAGTTTATTTTTAATGCATTCTTAAACTCTATTATTTTTGGAGCTGCAACTTGGGTGGATTGAACGAGTTGGAAGTATAACTCGAGCCTAATTTGATATATGAAATATTCAACTCTAACGCAACTTTAACTCAACGTCCAATCCAAACTATTCAACTCGAATCCAATCCATCATCATTAAATTTTTTAATTGATCTTTATTTAGTTTCATTTAAATTACTCATAAGCACAATTTTTTTTTTTTTTTTAAAAAAAAAAACCATTTGTGTAAATTTCTAATGAATTACAAATAAATTCTAAAGAAATTAAAGTGATCATAATTTGAATATTATATATAATATATATATTAAAAATAGAAAATATATAAAAATAATAATATTAAGGTTTGGATTCATGTTAGGCTCGGGTTGGGACTAAATCCAACTCTAATTAAGTTTGAGTTGATCGAGATAAGTCCAACCCTTGGTTGCTCAAATCATTTAAAAATCATATTATACTCAGAGATGGGTTAAGATTGTCGGACCAAATTGCATCCGTAATTATTTTGTATCACAACTAATTTAAAAAAAAAAAATTCATCAACTAATCTTAATTGAAGATCCATCCATAGGACAAATTTTGTAATGATCCAGAAACAAAATAATAGAAAGGTCAATATTGTCAAGTTTGCAATTAATATGCATTTGGAAAAATTATCAAGTTTGCAATTAATTTTGGTATGGTCCAGAAAGCGAGCCCTGTAGACCATTAAAAGTCACCGTGGTTGATTGATTGATAGCCCCCCTTGACTAAGCTTTGGCCACTGAATTTCCTCATGCATATCCTCCATGATTTCATGCAGTAGTACCCACACATACATGGGCAAAAATCGTCTGCATGGCACCTTTCAACGGATGCGATCCATTGAGGATCTAACGGCTGTGATCTAGCCACTTGTTCAAATTATGCCACATCATCATCTAGAGATCGCCAACTCAGCACAGAGCTAAAAAAGTTTACTCGACTAAGTTAATTTTTACCACAAGCACAAATACCATATACAAATATACTTATACCCTACAATCTACAATAAAAAAAAAAAAAATTCTACAATACATCTGCTTCCCATCTCTTTCTCCCTTTTTTTCTCTTCTAAACTTCTATTTTCAAAATTAAATACCAAAAACGAGATCTCAATCCTACAGTCATTTATCAATTTATTGGATAATTCTTATTTTTTGATTGATTTAGAGTGGCTAAATTTTGTTAGTTTTCTAAATTGTGGTTTGAATGTTTATTGTTGAATTAGTAATTCTTAATGTCTTAGGTTATTAACAATTCTGAATATATTCACTCTAACTCAAAAAGTGACATAGAAAAATAAATTAAAAGTTCTGAATGTGTTGGTTAACTTAGTTTATTGTTGTGCATTTGGATTTTAAATATGAATAATTTTGTAACAAAAAAAAAAAAGGGAACTGCGGAACCGAACTGAACCAAATCGGTTCCTCACTATTTGGTTTGGTTTGGTTCTTTTGGTCAAATGGTTCGGTTTGGTTTTAGATTTTCTGTAACCATTAAGACGGAATTGGTTCCAAAAAACTCTAAAATCAGTCCAAACCGAACCGTGAACACCCCTAGCACAGGCACAATTAAGGTTTATTTTTAATGCATCCTTAAACTCTATTATTTTTAGATCCGCAACTTAAATGGATTAAATGGATTGAAGGTATTACTCAAGCCTAATTCGATATATGAAATATTCAACTCTAACGCAACTTTAACTCGACCTCCAATCCTAACTATTCAACTCGAATTCAATTCATCATCATTAAATTTTTAAATTTATCTTTATTTAGTTTCATTTAAATTACTCATAAGTACAATTTTTTAAAAAAAAGTATCATGTTTGCAATTAGCTTTTGCCTCTGATTTTCCAGGTCTCAAGTCCAAGTGAGCCAATTCAAATATGCCCCTCATGCATATCCTCCACGATTACATAGCCCACATGCACGTATATCTTTAAACATCTTTAAAGTATAAATCATTAACAAAAATAAGTGTCAAAAAAATCAAGGACTACACGTAAAAAATCAAGGACTATTATTTCTTTTTATTATTATATTATAATTATTACATTTCCAATGCATTATGACTATAAATGACTCGTGTGACTAATATAGAATCTCAACCTTTGTTATTTAATATTTGTAGAAGTCTAAATTTTATTTTATTTTTTGTATTACTACACGTAAATTCTATTATATTTTTGGTGTTACTGCACTTATAACAAAGCTTGCTAGAGCATGTGTGCAACTTTGATCACGGCTCACAGAAACCAACTTAACAATAATCCACTTTATACCTTCTGGGAAAAAAAACAAAATGATCTTCTTTATTCGAGGAAATTATTTGCCGCTATTGCTCATCACGAAGAGCTGCATAAACTTTCAATTATCAAAAAAATATCTCCATCCACAACTTGCCATACAAGTTCTATTGGATTTGATAAGCTCTATTTTCCTTATCAATGGAAGCCAATAATAAATTAAAAAATCTAAATTCTCTTGAAAGAGAACAAAATAACGAAATTAGGAGCTCTTACTAGAGTATGATTTGCATGTTCATTCAATAATATGGATGTAGTTGTATCCTGCTTCCTTAAGGAATTCTCTATCATATGTTTTAGTTCTATCTTGAGTAGTTATTCTAAAATATATATATATATATATATATATATATATATGAAGGAAATAGAATTGAAAAGTATTTGTGATGAAATAAAATAATATCAAATTTCATAAATAATTGAATTCAAACAATTCTATAAAATTGGAAAATTCAACCAAAGACCAACATCTAGGTTCAAAAAGATCGAAATGACACATTTAATTACAAGTGAAAACAGATATTATATTACTTGCTTAGACTTGTGAACCCGAGGTTGACCCATGACATAGAGTCCCGATGACTAATGCAAATTGCAAATAAACATTATTATAAATGGTCATTTGGTGACCTTTGGACATAGTTATGGTAGACCACACATCCACGAACAAATAGGTGGTGTTTTACTGAACTTTTTCCATATTCATGGATTATTTTTCTACTTTTCTCCTCACAAAAATTTATATTATTACAATGACCCACAATATAACTATAACAACACAAATGCTTTAAAAAATAAAATAAATTTAATATAAGCCAATCACGCTCCTACAAAATACTTTAAATATACTAACCTTTAAGAAAAGTTAGTATTTAATCAAAGTGACATCCATTGAATAAAAGAAATAAAGGATTTGACCAACAAATTAGGCTTGGCTAACACAAAAGATTGTAATTTTTGGTCGATTTTTAAAATTGCTCATAATCTTTCGTCAATTATTTAACTAACAGTTTTTGTTTTCTCATATTCACCATCGTCATCACTTTGATTAAACACACACTTGTCACTTTTTCTGAATTTTTTTTGTCAATGTCACAAAATGACACATTTAGCTAAACTAGACGAAAACCAAAGCAAAGAGGGGGCCTCGTAGATCATTCCAAGTCGCTGTGGTTGACTGATAGCGCCCATTAACTAAGCTTCAGCCACTGAATTTCCAAGTCTCTGTGAGCCAAACATCTTCATGCTTATCCTCCACGATCACCATCAACATCCTATATGCATCTTTAAACTTTTTTACAAAATTAGGTATCTTTGAACTTTACTTGATACACCACATAAAATAATTAGGACAAATAATCATTAATGGTAACAAAACCAAGACAATAATTTTTCTATTCTATTATTTCTTTTTATTATTATAATATTATAATTATTACATTTCAAATGCATTGTGATGACTCGTGTGATTAATATTGAATCTCAACTTCTTCTTCTTCTTCTTTTTGTCATTTAATATTTGTAAATGTCTAAATTCTATTTTATTTTTGGTATTATGGCACAAAAGTTCTGTTTAATTTTTGGTGTTACTAAAAATATGACAAAGCACAAGTGCAACTCAAACATACCAGCTTGGCCTCAGTAGAGCTGCAAAAACTTTCTACTAAGAATAGTACCCTTGTTGAATCAAAAATATATCCCCATCTCTAACTTGCCATACAAGTTCTATTAGATTTGAATAGCTCTATTTTACTTATCAATGGAAGCCATTAAAAAATCAAAATCAAAATTCCCTTGAAGGAGAACAAAATTACTGCCTTAATAGAGTATGATTTGCATGTTCACCAAGAATTAAAGGTCGTGAATAGCAAAGCAAAGAATGGGACAACTGCGCCCAGATTCTCGTGTAACAAGCTATCTCCCACAAAATAATGAACTTTTACTTTGTATAGGAGGATGCAGGGATGCCATTGTGCCAGCTTTTCTTCTGATGTGATTCCGCTAAAATCATTAGTTTGTTTCTTCTATAAATCCATAAAGCATCCAGATTCCAATGAAGACATTAACCGAATGAATGAGAACTCAGATCAAGCATGCTCACATCAACCATTGTTTTATTATGAATGACTTAATACATATCATTTAGAATGACAAAACTGGATATAATCTCATCATACTAACTAGTATGTGTCTTTGCATATATATTACACACTATATGCACACATATATCTATATAACTAACGTATAATGTATTTATCTCTTACAAACTAGATTGTATCTTTATATTACAGAGAATACACACACACATGTATCAATTTCACTTGTCATGAAACTCTAAAAATCCTCTTAAAAGCTTAATAGTACTTAATGAAAATTTATTTCAAGGGCGTGTAATCTCAAGTACAAACAAACACACATACATATATTTATTTAATTATTCTTGTTTCAACAACGAATGGATTAGTAATAAAAGTAAGCTCTAATGACAGAGATGGCTTCATGGAATGAATGATGCTATCCTTCAACGTGCAAGTTAGGCAACAAAACCAATCAAAGTATTATATAAAATTCAAAATTTGTTATAAACAAACATATCACGATTTCTTAAACAACATAAGTAGGAAATACAAGGGTGATGATTGATACAATATTTATTCAAACAACATAGATGCAAAATATGAAGGAAAAAAAAAAAAAAAAAACCTAGCAAACAAACATTTTTAACAATCACGATATATTACTTAAATAACAAAGGATGGACATCCCGTGATGACGATGCACTCCTATGAAAATGAGACCCTGTCAAAGTTGAAGCAACATCCCGAGGTCCTGTGAGTTCAATTACTGAAGCAACATCCCGTGATGATGATGCACTCCTATGCAAATGAGACCCTGTCAAAGTTGAAGCAACATCCCAAGGTCCTGTGAGTTCAAGTACTGCATATTCATCATCTTCATAATTTTGTTGAACGGTACATACTTCATGTGATATTCTAATCCCTTCCAATTCAGTTGCAACTTCTTTCATTGTAGGCCTTTTTCTCCCACTCAAGTTCAAGCATCTTTTTGCAAGATTAGCGACCCGAATGATGTCTTCTTTCCCAATCTCTTTGGAAACTCGAGCATCAAGAATGTCAAATAAACGGTTCTCCTTCATTATCACCATGAAATATGTTGCCAAGCTTCGTTCTTCTGATCTGGTTGATGAGATTGGTGGTTGTCCAGTTAACAACTCAACAAGAACAACTCCAAAGCTATAAACATCACTTTTTTCTGTAAACTGGCTTGATTGGAAGTACTCCGGGTCCAAGTATCCGAAAGTCCCCTGCACTATTGTAGTCATATGAGTTTGATCGATGGCAATTGATTTTGAAGTCCCAAAATCCGACACTTTCGCTCTGAATTTCTCGTCTAACAAAATGTTTGTGGATTTGATATCTCGATGATAAATGGGTATGGAGGCTGCTGAATGCAGATAGGCAAGAGCCCCTGAAACTTCTGTAGCAATCCGAACACGAATATCCCATGTAAGTGGAAACTCTTCATTTTGCTCATGAATATACTGGTAAAGGGTTCCATTGGGGATGTACTCATAAACCAACAAGGGAACTTCTGACTCCAAACAACACCCATACAAGTTAACCACATTCCTATGGTTAATTTGTGATAAAATAACAACCTCATTGATAAATTGTTCAAGGTTGCCTTCATCCACTATCTTGGACTTTTTAACTGCTACAATTCTACCATCAATTAGCATGCCTTTGTATACAGTACCTTGCCCCCCTTGACCAAGGATCCGGTTGTCATTAAAGCGGTCAGTGGCCTTTTCCAACTCCTTTGAAGTAAATAACTTATTTTTCTCAACATTACCTTGATCGATCGAAGATAGTTGTTGTTGCAATAACAAACCCCCATTTCGTTTGAAGAATTTTCGTTTAAGCATGAGTTTCTTTCTCCTCTTCACAAATTTATACAACCACCATATACCAACAAGTAGAAGTAGGAACCCAAAACTCGTACTCATACCTGCAAAACTCAGTTGGAAAGGTCACTTTATCAAACTAAAATTCCAATATTTAGGAAATTAAGAGTTTTGAAATTAACTTGGTACCACAATTGCCTTGACTCTATCAAGGTGTGTGCGTTTATGTGAAAGAAGGGGCATACCTATGATGATCATTCGAGTTTTTTTCTTGTCCGCTGTAGATGAAACAAAAATAGTTAGCCCACTAATTCGTTGACACAAAGACACTTCAAAGTAGTTGAAAATTTATGTATGTGTGCATAGATGAGAGTTAAGATCTAGATACATATATGTGTGTGAGCTAGCGATCAAATTTATTTTTTGCAAAATGAGAACTTAAAATATGTACATGCATACCTGGACATCCATCTGGCAGATATGGGTTCCCGTAGCCAAATTTACAATCGCATGTGTAAGTAAAGTTACTATTTCCTGTTGAGTAGCAAACAGAATTAGCTCCGCATAATGTATTACTAGAAGGCACCAATTCGTTGCATTCTCCTTGCATGCCCCAAGACATCACAGCAGGAACGCCTTCCATTTCTTGTATTTCAAAGGGATCTTCCAAGACATGATTGAACCAACCTTCATGCCCAATGAACGCATACTTGCAATCTTTTGAAAGATTGGTAGTATTCTTAGAACCAAAGTTGCTCAGAGATGCATTGATGAAGTTGAGTGATGGAGGGATTGTGGTCTGGCAGCATTTGATTCCATAGCAACTTCCTCCAGCAGTTGAATTTGAATTGTCGCAAAGTGATGCGCACCCACCTATAATTTGTTGATCTTGGCTCATCATTAAGGCCAGGTTGTTACAACCTGTGGCCGTGAAAACATTATAGTCTTCAGAAAACCAAAAAGGACTGGACAAATTCGCAAGTCGATGAACAATAGTCCCATTTGGACAATCATAAGCGAGCACCGGATGATAGATGCCAACGAGGCCAAATAGGTAAATATAACGCACCTCGAGATTGTTGGTAATGATGAAAGGTTTGGGTGGATTGGAGGAGTTATCGCAAGTTATTGCAAAGCTGTCGTTGGCATAGCAACCCGTTCCAATCCCAAATGGGTAAGGAATGGTAATATTTCCGCATTTGTCTGGACAACCACGCTTTGCTAGCGGTGCTGAGGATGCTCCTCCTGTTAACCACACTAATCCTAATACCAACAACTCAATCACCATTTTTTTAATACCCTCTCTAGTTTTTGTGAGATTCTCAGAAGTACTTGTTATCTTATATTGGTGTTTTTGGACAATACATGCATCTCCAAATCTATTAGAAAAATAATAATAATAATAATAATAATAATAATAAATAAACAAACAAAAAGTAGAGAAAAGTCTCACAATGGAAGAGGAGTTTCATTTAGTCACTCCTACCAATCAAACCAGACGTTAGACGAACAGCTAGTATGGAGATTCTCTACTTTTACGTCATATTATATGGGTGTTTTTGGAGAATATATATAGATAAGCAAATAGGTTAGAAAAAATTAAAAAGAAAAGTCACACAACAAAGCAGCAGAAGAAGACTTATTAGATCTTTAATTAGTTAGTGAGTATTATCGGAGAGAGTACAATGAATGTGAGACAGAGGGGAGGCGCAGAAACAATTAGTGATTTTTTTTTTTTTTTTAATTCATCCTTTTTTTTTAGAGGCATATCTAATCCGTCTGTGAACTTATTAGATCTTTAATTAGTGAGTATTATTTTGTATCGGAAATAATTTCTAATCAAAACTATTCCATAAATTAAACTTTTTCAGTGGATCCAGAAACTAAACCAATAAAAAGCCACACAGTCATTGTCACATTTGGAAAAAGTATCAAGTTTGCAATTGCTGAACTCTTACAAATGAACCTTATTCGAAAAAGTAAAATATAAATGGTCATTTGGTGACTTTTGGACATGGTTATGGTGGACCACACATCCACGAATAAATAGGTTGTGTTTTACTAAACTTTTTCCATATTCATGGATTATTTTCTACTTGTGTCCTCACCAAAATTTATATTATTACAATGACCCACAATATAACTATAACAACACAAATGCTTTAAAAAAATAAATAAATTTAATATAAGTCCATCACGCTCCTACAAAATACTTTGAATATACTAACCTTTAAGAAAAGTTGGTATTTAATCAAAGTGACATCCACTGAATAAAAGAAATAAAGGATTTGACCAACAAATTAGGTTTGGCAATCATGAGATTGTAATTTTTGGTCATTTATAAAAATTGCTCCTAATCTTTCATCAATTATTTAAAATAACTGTTTTTGTTTTCATCACCCCAGACGTCACTTTGATTAAACACCCACTTTTCTCTTTTTTATGAGTTTTTTTAGTCACAAAAGTCTTTTTTTCTTTTTCTTTTTTTTTTTTTTTTTGGAGAATATATAGACTTCAAATAGAGAAGAGTACTTTCGTTTATAAGTGTCACTCCTACGAATCAAACACCATATTCATCAAGGTAGACTAAACAATAAATGTGGTTTTATATTTTTTTGGAGAATATATGGACTTCAAATCTATTTTAAAAAGGAAAAAAAAATTTAAAAAAAAAGACGCAAAGAGGAGTACTTTGGTTTATTAGTGACTCCATACTAATCAAACAACGTATTCATCAAGCTACACTAAATAACAAATGTGAAAGGAATGTCCAGCATACCATAGTTGACAATTGTTTTACTATATTGGATGATGATGTGTGTGTATGACAAAGAGAGAGAGAGGGCACAGGCATAATTAAGGTATATTTTTAGATTTGCATGGGTTAAAGGAGTTATAGGTACAATTCAAACCCAATTTCATATGAAATATTCAACCTTATTGTAATTCTAACTCGACCTCTAACCCTAAATCCTAAATATTCAATACAAGTCCATCTCATCTTTAAATTTTTAATCTCAGATTTGCAGCTTTGGTTGAGATTTCAATTTAGAAAATCAAGTTAATTTAAATTTTTGTAAGATTCTCATATTACTTATTATATTATATATTAATGATGTTTTGATATTTTTATTTTTTTGGAGAATACATAGATTTTCAAATCTATTTAAAAAAACAAAAACAAAAGGCAAAAAGCAAAAAGAAAAATAAAAGTCACATAGAGAAGAGTGCTTTCATTTATTAATGGCACTCCTACTAATCAAACACCGTATTAGACTAAACAATAAATGTGAAAGGAATGAAAGGAAAGTTCAGCATATCATATTTAACAATGGTTTTACTTTATTGGATGATTAGTGTGACAGAGAGGGGCACAGGCTAGGGGTGCACAAATATTCAGTCAAATCAAAAATCAAACCGAACCAAATCGGACGAGACAGTTTGGTTTGGTTTGTTAACGATTTGGTTTGGTCAAAGTTTCAAATTTATAAAACCGTAAAGATATAGTTTGGTCACGGTTTGAGGTCCTTTAGGATCAAATTGGACCTAACTGAACTAATAAGTTATATATATATATATAATATAATATAATATAATTCTATAGTCAAAATCACTTAGAAGTTTGTAACAACTATATATCAATCTTACCGTCCACTCTTAATTCTCTTAGGTTTTTATTAATTTATTAGATAATTCTTATTTTTTTTATCGATTTAGAGTGGCTAAATTTTGTTAGTTTTCTGAATTGTGGTTGAATGTTTGTTGTTGAATTAGTAATTCTTAATGTATTAGGTTATTAGCAATTCTTAATGTATTCACTTAAGTTCAAGAAGTGGCATAGAAAAATGAATTAAAAGTTCTGAATGTGTTGGTTAACTTGGTTTATTGTTGTGCATTTGGATTTTGAAATATGAATAATTTTGTAACAAAAAACTAAAAAGAAAAAAAAAAGAGAGAGAAAAGAAAAACAGGAACAGTAGAATCGAACCGAACCAAACCAGTTTCTCAACGTTTGGTTTGGTTTGGTTTGGTTCCTTTGGTCAAATGGTTCGGTTTGGTTCCAGATTTTCTGTAACATTTGGGATCGGATTGGTTCCAAAAAAAACTCTAAAACCGGTACAAACCGAACCGTTTGCACCCCTAGCATAAGCACAATTAAGGTTTTTTTAAAATACATCCTTAAACTCTATTATTTTTAAAGCTGCAACTTGGGTGGATTGAAGGGATTAGAAGTATAACTCAAGCCTAATTCGATATATGAAATATTCAACTATAACGCAACTTTAACTCAACCTCCAATCCTAACTATTCAACTCGAATCCAATCCATCTGTTGGCCTAAGGATTTTTATCTAAAGGTTTTGATGATTACAAACCATTAATGATATTTATGTACTAATATTTTCATTGAGTTATATATAGTTCATATCTTATATGATGAGCTAGATGAGCTATTTCAAGCATTCAAGTACTCAAGCTATGGACTCAATGAAGCCTCAAAGATTGCAAGAAATCAAAGAAAGACTCAAACTTCAAAGATCAATCAAACAATTTCAAGGAAGAAAGCAAGTCTTCATCAAGCTCAAGAGATCATGGTCAGGGAATGGAGAAAAGGGTAGATAGGATGGTGAGAGCTTTAGATTTAAATGTTAAAGCATATTTGAATATCTTCTGAAGCTCAAGTTTTTAGGTTCATGCATATTCTCTCTAAAAATCAGTTTTTAGAAGGCCTAAAATCTTTCCATGAACTTTACTTATGCATGCTCTCATAATAGGAAGTGCACAGAACAAAATGTGTTTCATTCTTAGTCTTACACAAGGATTGGAGCCGCTTCCCAAATATAGGAGCCTGCTCTTTGCACTCCAGTAGCCAAATTGTGTGTCGTAGAATGCATTTTGTGAATTGGAGCCGCCTCCCAGTTATTGGAGCCGCCTCCCATTTATTGGAGCCTCCTCCAATTTTTTGTAGAGCCGGCTCTTCTAGATTATTTGAATCTTCAACGGCACTTTTCTGCATTTAAGACTTCCAACTACTTCTAACAGACATATTAAGCCTCGGTTGTCTATATAAAGAAGGCTCATTTTACTGAAGTAATACACCACTGGATTATACATTCAAGAGAGCATTCAAGAGCATTCAATAAGCCATTTAAATTCTTCTCTGAGCTTTCACTTTCAACCATCACTATATTCTCTCATCCTAGAACTTGAGCTTTATTAATATTCTGATATTCTCTAGTTGTGAGCTTGCACTTGTATATCTATTGAGAGAGATTCTTGTATTTCATTTACAAACTTTGCTACAATCTTGTAAGGGTTGGTGTGACCTAAAAGAAGCCTAGGAGAAGGGTGTTCTCCTAGCAAGGAAAAGAAGCAAGGTCTTGCTTCAAATTTGAAGGTTTGCTCTCCACCATTAAGGAGAAGCTCTAGTGAATTTGGGAAGTCTCAAGGGGGATCTTGAGCCGAGGAGTAGGAGTTTCCGAACCTCGCTAAATCACCGAGTTCATTGTTTGCATCTTCCTATCTCTATCTCTTTTTTACTTGTGCTTTATATTGCTTGAATTTATCAATTTATCATTGCATAATAGTTGTTGTAAAACAAGTTTCATAAATTGCAAAAATTGGCCATTGACTCTATTCACCCCCCCTCTAGAGTCAATTAGTGGTTAACAATTGGTATCAGAGCCTAATCTCTAGAAAAAGATTAATCATCTTAGAGAATGATCATGGCCAATACAAATTTTCATCAAGAAGGTCAATCTAATAATAGACCCCCTTGGTTTGATGGAAGTGACTACAACTATTGGAAAATCAAAATGAGAGCATTCTTAAGAGGCATAGATGTAGATGTTTGGAAAGCCGTAGAAAAAGGAGACCATGTTCCAACCAAGATAGTAGAGGGTGAAAATGTTCCAACACCCGATATTGAATGGACCCTCAATGACCGTAGGCTTATACAATGTAATGTCAAGGCTATGACAAATCTCTATTGTGCCTTAAGCAAAGATGAATTCAATAGAATTTCGGATTGCGAAACGGCTAAAGAAATTTGGGATAAACTTGAAGTTACCTATATAGGTACTAGTCATGTTAAGGAATCCAAAATGAATATGCTTGTCCATAAATATGAACTTTTTACCATGAATAACAAAGAAACTATTAGTGAAATGTACTCTCGTTTTACTAACATTGTTAATCCTTTGAAAGCTCTTGGAAGAAAATATGCATCATCCGACAATGTAAGAAAAATCCTTAGATCTTTGCCAAAGAATTGGGAAGCAAAGAAGACCGCCATCCAAGAAGCCAAAGATCTTAACACACTTCCCATTGACGAACTCATTGGTTCATTAATGGCTTACGAGCTAGAAATGAATGATAGAGATGAAGAAACTCAAAAGAAGGATATAGCTCTACAAGCTACTACCAAAGAAGTTGCAATTGATAAGGCTCCTCATGATGAAGAAGAAGAAGAAGTTGCTCTCATTACCAAAACCGTGAGAAGAATCCTTCAAATGAAGAAGTTCCAAAAGAGCAACAACTTCAAAAGAAATGGGTCATCTAGTGAGCAAGGAAAAAGAGAAGCACCTACTTGCTTCCATTGTGGAAAACCGGGGCATTTCAAATCCGATTGCTATGCCTATAAAAATGAAAAGGAAAGGAAAAAGAAAGGAAAGGCCATGCAAGCTACATGGGAGGATGATGATTCAAATGGATCCGAAAGTGACGATGAACTCAATGAATTGGTTAATCTTTGTCTCATGGCCGATGACGATGAGGTAATTTCCAATCATGACTCATTTAATTTGGAAACTACTTATGATG